TGAGCCTTGATGTCACGGGATGTTGTGCCATCCTGGAATCCATGTGCCTCCAAAACGGGCCAACAGCCGCATTTCCGTTCCCGTAACTTTTGCCGCGGGCAGTGAACTTCTGTGTAACCCGTTCCCGTGCGACTCCTGCCATAATTTCCTCTCTCCCTGTCGTCTTCTCTCCGCCACCCATGGCTGGTTTGAATGGCCACCGCGGCCCGGTCCCCGCATTTGGTAATGAGTCGTGAACCAAGGGTTCACGGAACACCACCCGCAGTGGTAAACGGGGTGCATCCCCTTCCCCCCGCCCCGCCCCCAGCAACCCCCTCCAGGACCCGAACAGCCGGAGGCGCATCTCCGGCGCGTTGTTGAACTGGGACTGGTGTTGTTTATTTTTGTAAGGCAGCGCAGCAGCCGTAACCTGGAGCTACATGGCGGGGCTGACTGATGTAATTATGTAAACAGCTCAACGTGGGACAAAGATGCATAGTGCATGCAATGATAAATTCAGGACGTTCTAAAGAAATGCGTGAGAATTAGAGGCTGCTATGTTTGAATGCCTGTAATTACTTACTTTTTTCCAAACGCGATCAAATTACGTTGCAACTACCACCTGTATTAACTAAAACTCGATTTAATTTTCAAAAACTGGCTACGACATGGGTTACGTTTTTATACTTAAACTGCCTATTGAAGGTTTGCGTTTCATTTCAAACGAGCTAGTGAAAATGGCTAAAAAGAAAAATGCCTTTTCTGGTAAACCCCTTCGGTCTTTACCAGAAAAGTGCAACCAGCTCCTGTGACGAATCGGGCACACTGCGCGAGAAAGGCCGCTCGATAACCGAGTGGCTAACCGCCCTACCCCAGCACCCTAGCCCTAGAACGCCTAGGGGGGGGGGGTTGTATCAACCCCCCCCCCCCCTGAGGTTTTTCGGAAATAGTGCAAAAACGGCGGCGCGCAGCGCCGCCAAATTTTGGGTACCTTATGGGGCAACCTTTGCGCATCTTTTGCCGAAAAAAAATTGATCGGGTCATGTCAGGTCACGGAGTTATGACGTCATAAGAGGTACAGCCTCCGGCCGGATTTTCACAAACTGAGTGCCAACGCCCGAGGTTTCCTGCCGGTGGTACGGACATCGGTTGATGGATCGTGATGAAACTTCCCATGCATGTTGGGGCAAGTATTGGCTATCATATGGTATAAGAAATTTGACCGGGTCAGGTCAGGTCACGGAGCTATGACGTCACAAGAGGAACAGCGTCCGGTACTATTTTTGAAAAGCGCCCGAACCACTATTTTGCTAATTCTTGTCACCTCAATGGGAATATGCAGCAATATTAGCTTCTACAGGGAGCAAATGGACCTCCCAAATCCAAAAATACAATCAGATTTCAAAAATTTAAATTTTGATTTTTCGAATTTCTGCCGCCGACTGTGACCTTGCCGACTTCCGGCGCTCCCAACGCGCCATTTTTAGAGCTAGGGAAACGAAATACATACCAAACGATAGAGAATTGATCAAGGAACACGATAGTGAAGGTTTCAAGTCGATATCTCCCACCGTTTTGCCGCAATCGCCGCCGAAAGTTGAAAAAAGTCTATTTTTCCGAAAATTTGACCTTTGACCGGTCAAAAGTAGGTCAAATGTTGACCTAGGACCAAAAAACATACCACCAATCGCGAGATCTCGTTGAGAGCAATCCGTTGGTCTTTTCCGCTAAGCTCTACGACCTTCCGTTTCGAAACGCCAGGGGGGGGTCGTAACAACCCCCCCCCCCCTGGTCGTTCGTGTTATGAGAAATGGCCTGGTCGTGCGAGGGCTAGCGCATTTTCCCCGTTTCCGTCGCGACTCCCCAACGGCCAACACACAAACGATCATTTGCCGCTAATTGACAGATAGTGTTTCAATTTGGCGGGGCAGGCGGCTCTCTGATGAGACGCCCTGCGCCTATGGCTCCCTGCGGTGCCGACGGGGTATGGGGCTGACCGGGGGCAGCGGTGGGGGTGCAGTGGGGGTGCGCACTCGACCGGAACAGCCGGCCATTGGAAGCCAGCCTAGCGAGCCGGGCGTGCGGACCGATGAAAGGGGACACGTGCTGTGACATCAGTGAGGCTTCTGACGCGCGTCAGCCGGGCCTCAGAGCGGCAGCCGAGCACCAGCTCCTCTGACACCCCGTCGGGCCCCACGCACGGGGAAGGAATGGTGCACGCAGAGTACACACGAGCGAAAGGGATCAATCAACAACGCACGATCGCACCCAGACACACGACATGCACATAGATATACACATAAACCCTAAAACTTAAACCCTAAAACTAAAACTCTTATAACAATCTTACCTTACTTGAAAGAACCTTAATTTTTATTCGCATTTTCCATTGAGTCTGAATAGACTTCTTTTCACTAAAACGCGAATCTTCTCGTCAAAGCAGCAATTGACCCGCGTCCAGCTGAGGGAGGGAGACAAATCTGCCGCCAATTCCAGTTTTTTGCCAGTAGCTTCTAAACGCGTTAGGCCAGCGACGTCAAGCTTTCCGAACATTGTAATACAGTGATTTGACATGTTTCCTACATCAATTCAACATGTTGACATGTTTCGTTTTAATTTCACGACAAAATGTAAAAAATCAACTTCTAAATATTACGGGTTAACAAAACATTTTTTACAACCAGTGGCGGAACCAAGAGGGTCATATGGGTCATGAGTCATGACCTCCCCGCCCCCTTGGGGCCCGGGGGCACCAACAGCCTGCTAGGGGCACCACCGGCCTATCAAGGGCACCACAGACCTGACAGGGGCACCACAGGCCCACCAGGGGCACCACAGGCCTGTCAGAGGCACCCCAGGCTTGTCGAGGGGCACCACAGGCCTGTCAGGAGCACCATCGGCCTAGCAAGAGCACCACAGGTCTGCCAGGGGTACCACAGACCTGCCAGGGGCACCACCAGCCTCGCAGGGGCACCACCGGCCTCGCAGAGGCACCTTTGGCCTGTCAGGGGCACCACAGTCCTGCCAGGGCACACTGAACATAATAAAAAAAATGAAAAAAGGGTACCACCAAAATTAGGTGAACGAAATTCGTTGAGTTTTTTTCTAATTTGGGTATAAATAGGTAGGGGCATCGCTTAGAATTATGAGCCTCCCCTTGGAGTTTTCCTGGATCTGCCCCTGTTTATAACTGTACTGTATAAGAAGAAGTTGTGCCAAGTTTAACGTTGCTAGCTCAAACAGTTTAAAGTTATTCAAGAAAAAAGAGGGGGTCAGATCCGACCTTCCACCCCCCACCCCCCCCCCCCCCCCCCCAGCTGTCGTGGAATATACGTAGCGCATATGGGCTATATACAGCGGAAGGGAGCTGTTCTGTGATTTGGTGCCCGTGCAGAGGGCGCGAGAAGCAGGGGAGAGAGAAGTCGCGAAGAGGGCGCCACCGCTGACATCCGTACCGTGCGACTAGTGAGTCCACTGTCAAAACTCGCAGGGTATCCTGTCCCATAGCCGACGGGCGATGACCCTCTATGACTCGCAACTGAGTCGCGAACATGAGTGGCTTTTATAGGGCTTCTGATATAAATTTTTACCAGAGGGTGGCGACTGGCGATACTCAAGAAAAAAGAAAGGTAAATGGATTTTAGGTATTTTTTCGGTAGGATAGCTAAGGAAAAGAACAAATAGTTAGGTATGTACATACCTATAGACACTAGGCTTGAAGTAAAATGAGCTGCAGAATCGAATAATATACTATAAACCGTTTCCAACAAATTATCTGCCCTCCAAAAGAGTGACTTGATCTGACCTTGATCTGGGGTGAGCAGGTGAGTACCCAACTTGATCTTTCCCAAGTACCTAAAGCATTACTATACCAGCCGTAGAACATGGCAAACACGATGGTGTCGAAGTCGCAGCTCTGCGACCATTTTTGGGCAGGATATTAAAAACAGACCCTAGCAGGGTTTTTGACCTGACCTCATGAGGGGTCACCGGATGACCTGAAATTGAAAACTTAATTTTGGATACCTGTCACTGCGTCTCGTAACGGAACACACGTTCGTAGTTTCCGAGAAGCTCTTGCCTTAATTCGGCCGGGCCGGGTGACGATTCAAATCACTGTGCAGCCCGGGGGCGTTTTTGTCCCCCCCCCCCTGTCAACGGAAGAAAAAGTGATGTCAAGCTGAAGGTTTCCGTTAGATGATTCTAGGGCGTGTAATAAATTTAACCTCAAATCAATTTTTCAGAGTCAAAGGTCAAACGCAAAATCCAGCACATGTGATGGAAGGTAATGCATCTCAAGCTATGTGTTCCAGAGGATGGCAGGATGCGTAAAATCGGGCATGACTGGTTGGAAGCGATGGAAGACATTTTGAAGAATCCTATGATGTGCTCAAAGTTTCAAGGTCAAGGCTAAGGCTATGCTCGAAATTGACCTGAAACTCTGTACTTTTTCGGACATTCCATGTAATTTTTATGTGTAATTATGAAACGTTCATATTTTTTAAAGATTATCATGTCCGTGTTTGTGGTTCATGTAGCCGATGCAAGACTTCCCCAAGGTCACGGAACTAGAAGTAAATTTGTTATTATACCTACCTACCCATGAGGAAAAGATGATGGTAAGGTGCATGTTACAAAATAACGGTGAGAGGCGTCGCTATTGTTCCTCAAAAATTGTATCAAGAGGTGTTCAAACACTCTCCCCCCAGCAGGAGAGAAGGAGAGCGCGGGTTTGAGTGCGCTGAGGCAGCGCCGGCGGCCTCCCCACTAAATAGGGATGTCGGCGGGAATTGAACACCATGCACCCCTGTGTATCACCACATAACCCCACCGAGCTTATGCAAACTACCCAGCTGTTACATAAGCATTACGCTCACAGGGGCCTTGTCACTCGTGTCGTGCTAGCCACCACAGCTGAAGAGGGGCGCGGCCGACATTTCGCACGAGCGCCGCCCCGCGACAATGACCAGACAGACCGACCGACCGACCGTCCGTCTGACCGACCGACCGACCCGACCGTCTGGCTGCCGGGTCGGTCGGCGTCGGGCTGGGGCGGGGCGCGGCGACCGGGGCGACTGCGGTGGCCCCGGCCCGGCCCGGCTCGGCCCGCCCGCTCAGTCGGTGTCAGACAGTGGAGGTGGTAGCGCGTGCCGGTCCGAGCCTCCACTGCGCAGTCGCCGGTAAGTATCGAGCGCCGACCGCCATCGGCGAGTCGCTGCTCTGATTCTGAGTCATGTGTGGGTCCGGTAGGACATAGCGAACAGTGCCTGTAGTCATGCCGAGAGGTAGGCAATAGGCAGTTAGGCACAGCAGCGTCACGGGGTAGGCGCGCTGGGTCGGCGGGGCGCCGGTCGGTGGCCGTCATTGGCATGCTGGGAATCTGCCAATCGGCGGTGGAGAGGCTTCCGTCCGTCCGTCCATGGTGACCTTGATGGGCAATGGACCGGAACGGACCGGAACTTTGAGGCTTGGTGCATCAGAACGGACCCCACCGGATCAGATAGGAGCAGACCGGAACTTTGAGGCCGGGCGAGTCAGAGTCTTGCTTCTAAGTGAACCGGATATCTTGAGGTCTTGGTCCTTTCGGGCGGCTTTTGTATTCATCTTTCGTTACAAGCGTATTTAGTTACGATACCCCGTATAAATTTATGAGGCATAGTTGCGAATTACGTACTTGAGCTTGCATTCTGGACTGAACATGAGAAAGCAGCTTTCCGTAGAGCAGCATGTTTAGATCAGCGATGAAAACGGCCGTTGTCGGAACGGATGCCGCCGACTGAGGAGTCTTCTTCAATTTCCTGTGCGGCTTTGATTGTCCGGATGTTATTCGAGCTCTGTTATTTATTCATTGAGTAATGTAGCTGGGTTTTGAAAAGCTATATTTGTCATTGGAGCCATGAGCGTTTGTTTATGGTGTTTTATGCAACATATGTGCAATGTGCACTGCCTGGATAACGTAACCTGAGCTAAGTTCGAAAAATGCCGTCCATAGAACTAGATATCACAGAATTGCGTGATGGGTTAGATTCGGGTGAACATGAGGCGGGCTTGTGGATAGTCATGGAACGAGCTATTTTTAAAGCTATTTTTGGTTCAGATTTCAAAGCCCAAACGGCATTTGATAGCCCAATTAAACGTTTCTCAGTTAGTCCCGATCTTATTTACCTTTATAATGCCACCGATGTCGCCACAGGTCAGTCAAATTTTGGATGTGTTTACCTTCTACAACACTTCAGATAAAAAAGGTGTTTGTGTTTCAGAAGGTGCAGTCCCTACATTGCCAAATCAATTGACCATTGTTGCCAAATACGTAGGTATAACCAACTCGGTCCTTCCTGTCGCAGTTTCAGCCCTGCTGTACAAATCCAAACAAATAAAAATGCATTTCTAGTCTAGATCTGCCCAGTCCGATTACTCCGATCCATCAAGTCCTAATGCGAGCACTCAGCTCAGACTAACCCCTCCCCCCTCCAGCTGACTAGGCTGTCTGGCACAGTTGCGGTGGCTTATGCCTGTCGTCATGCCCCTACCGTTACGTCCGTAAGGCTTCAATGGTGTATGGTGTTCATCGTTCAATGGACGATGCTAACCAGCACACGCCAAAGACTTCGGACCAGGGCGTCTGACCTTACACAAATATATTGAATGAAGTCATGAACTCATAGACACATGATCTCTGGACACGTCTGTAATAAAACAGTCTACGAGTATTATCGTCAAACTTTATTCCGGCAGGAAATTTCCATTGGCAGTGTGTGGAGAGCAGGGCTGCGGAGTTGGAGTCGGAGTCGGAGTCGGAGTCGGTCGGAGTCGACAGTTGTGATCGGAGTCGGAGTCGGAGTCGTAGTCGATTTTAGAAACCCGAGCCGGAGTCGGAGTCGGAGTCACCGAAAATCTGTCGACTCCGCAGCCCTGCTAGGTCTGCGGAGTCGGAGTCGGGAGTTGGAGTCGGTCGGAGTCGACAATTCTGCCCGGAGTCGGAGTCGGAGTCGGAGCTGGTTTTTGAAAGCCGGAGTCGGAGTCGGAGTCGGAGTCGCCGAAAATTCATCGACTCCGCAGCCCTGGTGGAGAGACATGCCAATGCGATTTTGCACTCCGATGGGGCATTCGTAAAAATGCTTGAAATGCAGCTTTCCTAGGTAATAGTTTTTGCCGTTTGCATGTTTGGTCGTTGGATCATTAAAAAGTGGCTTTTCATTAGGCGATGAGATCAAAGAACATCAAGAAATATCATTTAAGTGCTTGTGACGCCGAATAAGACGAGAAAGGAGAAACATTGATCCCTGCAATGTACACAGGTCTATGGTCCGTGGTTTATGGTGTGTGTGGTCAATATTTGTCAAAGAGGACCATTTATGTATTATCTAAATGTACCCCGACTTGAGTTCATAGTGGAAACTGCATGCAATTGCATAGTGTACATCGCGTGTTTTGGTCAGGATAAATGGGTATTTAATTGCCTGGCCGTGGCCATGTTCGGAATGAACATGCAACATTTAACGTGAATCATTTCACTTTTCTGTTTGTCCGTTATTGCGCAGTTGTGTTACTTGTGTTTGCAAGGAAGCAGCATTGACCCTTCTGGTTTAAAAGTGTTTGACCGAGGTCACGGCCGCCCGGCAGCGGGTTAATTTTATTCGACCGGGTGTGATTGTGTTGGCCGTGACGCCTGTTGGCTTCGTGTCGTCCCCTCGCTTGCAGAGTCGTCTCTCACCTCAGTCGTCAGCCGCCGCAGTCGGCAGTGAGCGCGGCTCGTGCAGAGTGCACGCTGTACTTGCGATAATTCTAAAATATGACGCCTCAAAATTGGACGAAAATATTGCGCTGGCTGAAGAGGCACGTGCACCGCGGTTTTTCTCATAACACTGGGTCGTTCAGTGACCTAAGTGTGTGTGGTGCCAGCCCTGGCGCCTCGCTGGCTGTCTGGAAGCCGTGTGGTGACCGGTCGGGGTTTTCACAGGGAGCAGACCGGCAGGTCACCATGTCCAGTTCACCGGTACCCAACGAGATATCGGCGCCCTACGAGGTGCCCCACTATCCGATCGAACAGATCGAGACCAAGCTAGCGCAGCAGAAACACATCAGCCAGAGGTGAGCAGTGAGCACGGACAGGGCTGGATGATTGAGGGGGTCGCTGGGCTGGAAGGATGCTGGACTGGAGGGGAGGGGTCTGCTGGAGAGGCGGGGTCAGCTTGCTGGAGATGCGGGGTGCTGACTGGAACCCCGGGGTGCCATTGCCACCTCTCCAGCCCCGTCCCGCCTCCACTGATTATCTCCCGCCTCTACTGATGACCGTTGATCACCTCCCGTCTTCCTCCATCAGTTAATCACCGCCCCAGCCCGTCCTCCGTCGGCCCCATTCCAGCCCCCCCCCCCATCCGTTATTCCCACACATCCGCCCATTAGTCCGTCTGTCGAATTGGTCACTACAGACGAGGCTATGCCGGCCTATCGTCGGTACTGGCGGCCTGTCAGCTGATGACCGGCGTGGAGGCTCTGTGGCTGTCGGTCGGTGGTGCCGGCCGAGCTCAGGTGGTGGTCGGCGCCATCTATCGGCCACCGGGGACACTAACAGCCCGATTGCGCGATGCTCTGCGCGGACAGTTTGAGATGGCGCTCGCAGTGGGGAAGCCTGTGTATGTTCTCGGTGATTTTAATGTTAACCTTTTATCCGGTGATTCAGCTGACTCTGTTCATTTTAATTCGCTCTTGCGTGATCTTAATATGTCTCAACTTATTACTGAGCCGACACACCCGCACCCAGTGCCTTCGCTTTTAGATTTAGCCATTACAAATGTATCATCTCCCGACATTCATGCTTCTGTTCTTCCCCATCTCATCGCGGATCACCTTCCTATTGTTATCAGGCCCTCGGCCCCTCGGCAGCGTCGTCCCCCGGTTACTATTAGCTCGCGCGCGTGGCATCGTGTTGATTGGGAGGCATTCTCCACGGATATCGTACATTCCGACTGGGGACCTTTTTACACTGCCGCCGATGTAAATGATAAGTTAGCCATTTTTATTCATATCTGGAACTCTGTTGCTGATGTTCATTGCCCTGTCGTGCGCAGAACGGTGCGACGTCCCGCCTGCCCCTGGCTGCGTGACGAGTCTGTCAGGGAGGTCATGGCGGAGCGGGACGAGGCGCGGCGGGTGTGGGCCGCCTCGGGTTCAGTGACTGACCGTGACGTTTATAGGCGGCTCCGCAACAGAGCAAAGCTTCTTTTATCGCGTGCGCGCAGATCTTACCTGACTGATTCGCTTCAATGCGACGCGAGGCGTTTCTGGAGCCGTCTGAAGCGGTACGGTGCTGACTTGTCTGCGAGAGGCTCCAGAGGCGCACAACCACCCGATGACGACACACTGAGCGCTGACCAGCTCAATCGGCACTTCGCTGGTGTCGGCGCTCGTGTGGCAGCTGAGGCCGTGCGGGCCGTGCAGGGGAGTGAGACCCCCGCAGCTGGCCCGCGACCTCCCCGGGTGTGTTCGAGCGCCTTCACTCTGACTTGTATTACTCTGCCTGACCTGATCTTGACCGTGAGCCGGCTGAGTTCGTCGAGAGCTGTTGGGGTTGACGGCATCCCTATCACTGCTGTCAGGAGCTGTCTCCCTGCAGTCGGTCCGCTCATCCTTCACCTCATCAATTCCTCCATATCCACCAGCACCTTCCCCAACGCATGGAAAGTTGCCATTGTTACCCCCATCCTTAAGTCCGGTGACCCCAACCAGCCAGGCAACTACCGTCCTATTTCCATCCTCCCAGCGCTTTCCAAAATCCTTGAAAAGGTTGTGTGTTCCCAGCTCACTTCCTACCTCGTCACTAACCACATCCTTTCCCCATCCCAATATGCCTATCGCCCATCCCACTCCACCGAAGATGCCATACTCGACATTGTCGAATGGGCGGCTCGCAGGATCGATGACGGTGACGTCGCGGCGGTAACGTCAATCGACCTGAGCAAGGCGTTCGACAGTGTCGATCACTCGGTGCTTCTGAACAAGCTCGAGTGGTATGGCATCTCATCCCGCTGGTTCAGCAGCTACCTCTCCGGCCGTTCCCAACTTGTCCGCTCCTCGACGGCACTCCCACTCTCCCACGGCGTCCCCCAGGGGTCCATCGTGGGTCCCATCCTCTTCCTCACCTTCGTCAACGACCTAACCTGTTTCCTCCCCCATGGCCGCCTCATATCCTACGCGGACGACACCCAAATCCTGGACTCAGCACCCTCCAATCCCACTGACATCCAAGTGCTGAAGTCCCGGGCCGAGGAGAACATCCAGCACCTCCAGCACTGGTTCAGCTTGAATAGTTTGAAAATGAATGGGGAGAAGACCTGTTTCACCCTTTTCGGCACGCAAAATTCAGTTGATAGAGTTGAAGACTTCGCCATTAACGTAAATGATGTAACTATACGGCCAACAAAACATATCAAAGTGCTGGGCGTTCTCCTCGACCAAACCCTGAGCTGGGAGCCACACATATCCTCCATCATCCGCCGGTGCAACGCAATCCTCATATCATTATTCAAAATTCGTCATCACCTATCCCCAGACATCCTTAAAATCCTTGTCCAAACCCATGTCTTCCCCCACCTCCAGTACTGCTCGTCAGTCTGGGGTGGTGCCTCCAAATCCCGCCTGGACCGACTGCAGAAGGTCATACATTTTGCCGCACGACTGGTCTCTGGTCTCCGTAAATTTGACCGCATCACCCCCGCTCTCGGCGCGCTCGGCTGGCCCAACATTGGGGAAGTGATCGCGCGCAGGGACGCAGTGAATGTGCATCGCGCCCTGTATGCCGCTGGTGCCCCTGACTCGCTACGGGCAATGTTTCGCCCACGAGCCGTCGTCTCAGAGAGGGCCACGCGTGCCGCCGCTGCGGGCTCGGCGGTGATCGACTTGCCCCGAGTCCGCCTGGCGGTGGCTCGGCGGCAGTTCCCGTACAGAGCCGCGGCGGCTTGGAACGGGCTGCCGCGAGAGGTGACAGGGACCGCCTCCAGGGCACAGCTGATGCGGCTCTTCCGATAGAGATATGTCGCCACCTGAGTGTTTTTTTAGTACTATTGTACATTTTGTGTGTCTTTTACTATGATGATTTTTATGACTTAGGTACACTCATATTGCTTGTATTGACTGGGCCGTAATAGCCACCTGTGGATCAGCCCTAATAAACGATTTACGATTTACGATTTACGACCGTCCCGAAGCTCCGTCAGCTGATTCGGATGCTGACAGCCTGTCAGCTGATGCAGGGGCGGTGACGGCGGCCTTCCTCGAGCCGTATCGATCGACCGGCGCTCGGCGCCTGCAGGGGGGGGGGGGTAGCCGGGGGGATGACCCTGGCCACGCTGCCCGAGGCGCTGAACAGTGAACGGCGGTTCGCTGAAACCGGAGGCCCTGATGACCCGCTAGCTACGGCTTAGCTCAGCCCCGGTTTCTGTAACAGAAGATCCAGTATCGGACTGGTGAATGATGCGGCGATGCCCGCCCTCGGGTACCCAAGCTGTGGGCGCAAATTCTGCTGTCGATAGGTTTTCCTGTTACCTAACCACTGATGACGGGCTTAACGTTTTACTCACGGGCGTAGGAACGTCATGAAGAGTGGGTGGGCCACCCTGTCAAGGGGCCTCCTTTTCCAGGGGGCCTCGTATTTTCAGGGGCCTCCAACTTTTGCCTCGTCCTGCTGGCTGCTTTCAAGTATGACCTCCAAACCTAGCTTCTGAGATCGGGCAGATGTACCCAGGGGCGTAACCGCTTAAGCGAACAGTGCAGAAAGTCCGCACCATTTTTAAAACTTATCCTCCCTCCGATTTTTTTTAGAATGTATTTGCCGCAAACGGCGCATGACCCCTAAAAACCCTTACACAAATGTCTTCCTCGTTTCCCAGGTGCCCCCATTAGCTTCGTAGGCGCCCTCTTTGGCATATAAGCGCCCTATGTAGTATGTATAGTCATCAGAGACATTCCTATATGTCCCACAGTCGCCCCATTGTCGCATACAATGTGCGCTTATCATAGGCGTCTCTCTTTTATGGACACTTGAAGGCACCTCTCTTTGCCATGCCGGCGCCCCTGTTTCTTATGAATGCACCCCCATGGCATTGATCAATTGCAATTTGCAGACCTCTATTGCATGTGGACTATAGGTAGGCCTCAGAGGCGCCCCTCTTTCGCATTGAGGCGCCCCTATGGGCTTCATAGGCGCCCCTCTATTGCACGTAGGTGCCCTACTGTCTCAGAACCGCTCCTCTTTGGCATGGAGACGCCCATCTTTCGTACGGAGGAGCCGCTGTGGTTCTTAGAGACGGCATGGTGCTCCCAGACGCAGATGGGGCTCTCGGAGTCGACAGTGTGGGACCTTCAGTCGCTGATGGGTGCCCGCCAGATGTGGACCCTCGGAGACGCCGGTATGGGGCCCTCAGAGATGCCGGTATGGGCCCTCAGAGATGCCGGTATGTGGCCCTTAGAGACACCGGTGTGGAACCCTCAGATACTTCAGTGTGAAGCCCTTACAATTGCTGGTGTGGAGCTATGAATGCGCTGGCTTAAATCCCTCAGAGGCCGGTACATGGACATAAGAGCTCAGTGAGAGCTTGTGTGGTGCCTTCAGTGGCCTTGTGGAGCCGTTAGACATCAACATGGTGCTCTCAGGAGCCGGTGAGTCCTCAGAGTCACCGGTGTGGACTGTGGGGCCTTCCGAGCTCCGAGATACTGGTCTGGGGCGCTCAGAGGTGTCGGTGTGGGTCCTTCAGATGTACCTATAAAGCCTTGAGATGCACAGGTGTGGTGGCCCACAGAGTCGCCGGTGTGGGGCCGCCAGAGCCACCGATATAGGGCCTTAAGAGACACTAGAATGACCCTCAAAGGCGCCGCTGTGTGCCGCTCATAAATACTGGTGTGGAGCCATCACAGCCGGGTGGAGCCGTTAGAGGCCGGAAAGGGCCCTTAGATGCCTACAAGGAGCCTTCAGAAGCCGGCGTGGCACGTGGGGATAAGCGTGTCTACTTAGGAGCCCTTGAGGTGCTCTCATGAGCTCTGTGGGGCCCTACCGAGCCGAAATATGGCCACGGCCAGTTGCCGCCGCATGGCTC